TTTAAGAAAAAAAGGGAAAAACAAGAGAAAAAAAATGAAAAATGAATGAAAACGTCCAGCAATAAAAAACCCACGAGTGAAGAAAGAAATAAAAGGAAAAAAAATGAAAGTGTTTAACAACGGGGTAGGATAGCCAAGTTGTTGGTGCCCTTCCCTATGAACGTGGAGGTCCTTTCTCTCGGGATGCTTCTTTAGGTGCGAATGTCGCAGACCCGGCGAGTCTGGAAGATTTGGCCTGCCAAAGAGAACATTTTGCTAGCGGAGGATCTTAATCTTGCAAGTGTTGACGTCGCAGATTGTCAGGTGGTGGTGAAAGACATTAATCAGCAGTCGATGGCCCCCTACGGCGCCATTTTACAGGAGATCAAAGCTCGGAAATCGTCTATGATTAGCCGTCATTTTATGTACGATGGTAGGAGTTTCAATCTCGAGGCGCATGTCCTAGCAAAGCACGCTTCTTCTTTAGGCGCCGGTCGTTATATTTGGCTTGATCTCCCCTATGATTCAGCTATTGTACCCTTAAACATTATTTCAGACAATCAACAAAGCGTGTGTTTGCCCAAAAATTTCAGTTCGTTACATAGGTCCTGTGAGAAAAGGTACTGCACTCCTGTCACCCATGGTATTGCCCTGCTACGTTTTCCCACCCAGCGGCACCGGTACCAGCTACTCCATCCACCAGACCAGCTGACGAACTTTTGACAAGTCCACACCAGGATTGCTTGGCCACCACACCACGCGCAGTCAATCGAGTGAGTCCCGTCCCTTTTCGTCTTCGTTTTTAAATAACAGAGTCCGTTTTACGGTTGGTGCGCTTCTGTTTTCGTCAAACACTTGAATAACTACCACAACACTGCGACGCCCGTGCCTGCCAACCCCTGGTCAGTGCCTCGCCTCGGCGGCCACCTACCATGCACGACCAACGGTACCTGCACAGCCAAAATTTCCCGTCCCAGCACTCATGCATGCATGCGATAAGACCAGAAAAAAGACGTGAATTTTTTTTAAAATAAGAAGAAGAAGAAGAAGAAGAAAAAGAAAAAAGACACGAGCATCATTCCCGTCATTTTATTTTAGCGGGAAACATCAATTTTGTCAGCGCACGATGCTTCCCTTCGGACGAATCTCCATACCTTCTCTAAAGAAACACCACTTTGCTTAACTTCCATCATTCGATTACTCCCGCTTTTTGACGAGGTTGACGTATTCAAACGAAGAATAGTCTTCCTGAGCTAGTGCTCGATTTTTTTACTAGCCATCTTTCGTGACATGCGGCGTCACATTCATGATTCCATGGCTCCCTACTCGCCGATTTGATAACGACCCGAGCAAAGCAAAGGCAAACTCGACCGATCGACTGGACGTCATCATTTCGCTTCGGTACGATTGCCATCAACTTGCTCGTAATATGATATATCGGGAATGTGCACACACTTACCATCACAAAAACGAGCGATAAGCCACTTGTGAATTTTGTGTACTCAGATAGGTCTCCTCGAGCACGTAGTAATTGAAGTGGTGCCGCGCCGTGTGAATGCTTGCTGTGGTTGAATCTTACATGCACGAGACTAAAGTCAATGACATGGGAAAGTCGTTGCACCTACGCGCTGAACTTTGGGCTCGCCCGATTAATTGTGAATCGTGGCAGCGAGGGGGGAGATGATATGGACGCGTCGGCCGGCGCATGCATACCCTCCAACCGTTCGAGGTGCGCTGATATGGACACTTGTTGGACACCACGGTCACCACGGCCATCAGGGTACATGATGCGCCATTTCAATATAAACTATATATTTTTTGAAACAAGATATAAACTGCATACGAATGTATATAAATATAGTTTAAAATGTATATTTACTTATTTGTTTTATATGTAGTTTATATTAGAATTTTTAAAAAGATGTATAGTATTCAGGAACGGAGGGAGTATATGCCATGCTGCGGGCGACAGCAGTTGATTTTTGGCCCCTTGCAGTAATTGAGTAGGCGACGTACGGCAGTGTGATGCTCGACCACGAAGCTCGCAATGCCGACTGTCGACTTCTGTTTCCGGTGCCCTCGAGTCGCATGACTGGCGCTTGGCTGGCTGTATAGTTCTTTGGACGTTCCATGGAAAATACTAATACTACTACTACTACGTACTATTGGCTCAATGCTCTTGCGTTGAAACTAGCATCATTCTTGCATATACAGTATATGGTTTTTTTTTGCGTGGAATATACAGTATATGGTTGAGGATGTGCTACTTGTTTGAACTTTTTTTTTCACAGCAAAAATTAAGAAAGATTCATATACATAATGATGTTTCCGAGATTGGACTCTAACATGCTAAGAAATTCAACGTTCAATTGAATGTGTTATAAATTTCAAGACACAACTATTAGTTTTTTTAATTGTGTGTTAACCTATTTAATTCATTGAACATTGCATGGTTTTGGTTAATTTTAATTTATACCAAACATACATACAAAACTATCGAAAAACCCAGTCAGCTCTCTCCCTTGTCGCTCTCAGCGGTGGTCCGGGAGCCAAATCCAAAGACTGATC